ATGTTATCCGTGTACGAAATTCACCAACGCTTAATTCTTTCAGACTCACAGTCAGCAATAAACAAAATAGGAAACAGAGAGCCACCAAAACAGCTGAGATAAAGGAATGTAAAAAACTTTATCAGCTGCTGAGAGAAAAAAACAAAACAGTGGTTCTACAACGGATTCCTGGTCACTGTGGCGTTAAAGGCATTGAGCTTGCTGACGCCCTTTCTAAGAAGGGGACAACAATTTTGTAGGGCATAGACCAGCCGATGTCTTTCCACACAATGAAGACCTTAATCAAAAGAGAATTCAAGACTTCAAGGTGCAGCGAACTTAAAGCTTGAACAAAGGAGAAAAAGTGGACAGTGGCACTCTCCGACATAGCCGACTGGCCAAGAATCGAAGATGTTGCTGAGTTTAGACTACGTACCGAACACGATTGCCTGGCGAAGCACCTTCACAGATTAGGAGTATACACTCAACCCACATGCCTCCTATGTAACCTACAGGATGAAATGGAGAAGACCCACCTGATTCGGTGTCCAGTCCTAAAGGCAACGACGGAGACTCAGAGATAGTGGGAAGCCAGACGGCAACTAATGAACTGCTATTAATTAACTGCTCCCCAACCCAAATCTTGTAAAAGCCAAAGTCAACTAAGGGGGTAATAATAAATATCATAAAGACTGCCATATGAAATAATAATAATTTTGAGTTCATATAATCTCGTGACCCCAAAACTTTCTTTCGTATTTTAGTTTTTATGTGCCCGGTTTAGCCAAATTTGAATTTGTTCAAATACTTATACAAGGTTAGATTAAACTTTTCGCGATATGTCGTCTTGGAGGTTGGAAATGTACAAACTGTTTGTCAATATTTTAAATTCCGGCTCAATTGATCCACGGCTTGATTAGAAGTACAAAAGCTGACATGCAGATCAAATAAGTAATAAAATGAAAACAAAAATTGTTTTTTGCACATTTATTGCAGGGAAATTACATTGATTTGTTGGATGGAAGTAACTTTCATCGGATCTAAATCAACGACAACAAAACTTAATAAATCACACAAATCACTGACTCAGAGTTATAAATTTCCTCAAGTTCAAGTTCACGTAGTTTATGAGCAAAATATTGCAGACCCTACCAATACAAATTCATTATTTGTTCTTTGTTAAATCGGGGTAATATCGTCTAGAAGTCAAGCTTTGAATTCTCCTAACCGTCGTCAAAAAATATATACTACTCATTAAGATTCAGTAACAAATATTTTATATTTTAATTAACAGCTACTCACTTAAAACGCTTAACACTATCGTAACACGCGATTTTTACTTCTTCATTCACAAAAAATAAAATTATTAAACATGATAAATGCTGCAGAGAGACCATACATGAGTAGTATTGATCGGATATCGGTGAATTGTTTATTTTAATGCGAATGCTTTTTAGTTCCGATTTCTATGTGCTGGCAATATCTGCAATATTAGTAGTAACAATGACGTGAATTTCCGGAATTAGTAAGATGTAAAATTTCCTCGCTAAATGTAGCAGGCATCCAAGAAACAAATTGGTCAAGGAAACAGCCATTCTATTTTATGTGCTGCTGCATGTGTACATTCATCAGATCATTCAAAAATTCAAACAACCTAGGTGAATTAAATATTGCAAATTGAAGTCAAAATGATGTCAAAATTTAAAATAAAGTAATCGTAAGTCACTTAGACTTCTGCCCTTGTTGTAATTGAAATAACAATGGTGAACATTCTATAATATAATTCGTATAAATATATAATCTGGTATTTGTAAGCAGAAATTAATAAGTGTCAAATTGTGGATCATCCACTGAACTTGTTTCACGGAATTCTAGCTATTCCCGTATTTTACTTCACTCAACGCAGTCTTAAGATACGTTAATCGATAATCAGAGTCGTGAATTTTAATTTGTGCTCAAAATCGCTTGCATAGGTTGAGCGTTTTGAGAGTAATCACGTTAATTAACTGAAAGGTTCAGAAGCGCTTCAGCGTCAATAATTTTTTGCCTCTTTAGTTGTATTTTAAATACTGCCGAAATATGTTAAGAGGCTTGAATCACCTTATTTTCTGCTGAAATATTTTTTTTTACAGATTTTGGCAGTTTTGGAACACATTATAATTTCTAAAATTTCGATTGCTCACGTAAAATATTTTGACACGATGGTGAAAATTGGTTTACTGTGTAGAGAAAGTGTAATGTCGATGCACAGCCTTAACGAACTCAACCGTCACTAATCGATTGGGCGTTTTCGGGCCAATTATATTCTTTCTTCATCAGGATTGAAACTCAATGACTGATTTCATCCTTTAAGCTCAATTAAATAACGACTTAACCCTAAATTAATTAAAAAATCCGAACTGAACTGGATGATAGACCAGTCTTATCATATTTACCAACTGCTTATATCTATATAATTGAATTCTGTAAGAATAAGGAAATTCTTTTAGAACTGGAATTAATCTAAAAGAATAACAGTTAGTCAATCATCCCTTCGAATTATTATAGGTCAAAAGGTGGGGCATGTAACGTGAAGTAAGAAATAAAATCAAAATTTGTCCCTATAAAAATAGTATAATTCTTTACATATCAATCATTGAACTTAATTGAAATTACGCAAAGAAAGCAAAATATTACTGAGTTAGCTAAAATAACCATGGTTTAATGTCATGCCCTCAGCTTGCTGAAAACAACTTGATCAGTGCAGCCAGACACTTAAGGTATTTCTGAAAAAAGCGATGAGTCAGAAAAATTCTTGTGGCTTTATCGGGTTAGCTTATAAAGCTCCTAGAAATACCACAATAATTGCGTCTATTATAACGAATTTGGAATTGTGAAAATTGACCAAAATTTTCCTTCGCTAATATTTTGTTACCATGGCACCTTTAATCGAATTCCCAACTAACCGTGAAATCCGCTAACATCTTTAGCCAATCAGCTTACAGAGCAATTTCAAAAAATATGAATACAATACTTTTCCTCTGTAAAAGGTTACTTCAGTAAATAAGGCTTCTCATACATCCAAAAGTGAAAAACTAATAGGAATTAGCATACAATTACTTCATAAAAAAGTTAAAAAATGTATCAGCGAAATATTTTTATGAGGTAATTAGGCGTGGTGATTGCGTGACAATTGACTGAGTCGTCTTTTGAATAAGGGAGCACAAGAGCACAAAAAACTAATCACGACAGTTAGACGTCATGTCATGTCAAAGTGGTAGTTTGATTAGAGCCCTCATAATAATTCAATTATTTCTTTCTATCCTGAACCTACGCTAAAATATTGTTTGTTAGCTAAGTAATGAAAGTATCGTTTTCATTGGAAAACATGCTTATGCTGCAGTTCTTGAAATTTTATTTATATCAAATGGCAGGCGACTTGATGATTATCATTAGCCCTTTAGTTGACTTTAGGCTTCGCAAAGGGGAAGGAACATTAAAGTTAAAAAGTCGAGAGGGGGGAACAGAAGTGTTTCAATGACGAAGGTAAAAAAGGCAGAAAAAATGTAAGGCTAGTGCTGTAGAAGTAGTCGAATATGACATATAGTGGGGTGATGGTAGTTTGAAGTGAGAAGTCAACTGCCGGTTTATAAACTTATTTGCCGCATGAGTATACGTTCCCCAGGGGGCACCACGTGAAGGTAAGTCGATTACGCACCCCAGTTCTTGAAATAAGATCTCTGCAAAAATGTGGATATCTTGTTATAAATTTTGGTTTGAAACCTTGTTGCAAAAACCTTGAATACAATTTTTAGCGTTAATCACATATGTCAACTGGAATATGCGAAACTATAATTCTTTCGAAAACCATAATCTTATAGTGCTCATATGGCCGTACCTAATTTGAAACATTTTTCGCCAAATTAGACCAAACCCATATATTCAATTGGGCATTAATTTTTCTTTGTATCAGGGTGTGGAAGTACTGTAGTTGAAAATTATATCAGATGAGGATGGAACTTAAAAGGGTTAGTGAAAATTTCCCATCAGGATGGTATTTTAAAACCTGTCTTAGTTAATGGATGCGGTTCTAATAAAAGTGATCAAAAATATAGAAATGCGTCAAAAAAGCCATGTGTATAGAGATTAGCAAAATAGTTCAATTTTACGACATGTAGTCATGCAAGCCGATTCTCTTAAAAATTCCTCTTAAATAGCATGCTGAAATCTTTAGAATTGAGAAGCCTGTTAGAAAGCCCTTCTGAACGTTGTCTTCTCACTCGAAAAAGCTAGCAATCTTCGTCTCGCATACACGTGAATATCGATTATTTGCATTCCCACGCTAGATACACACGAACAACCAGTCGGCCAATCATTTACATCAAATTTAAACAAATTAATCAAGTGACTACAAAATCTCTTCCTTGAGTTAAAGTAGCTGGGGATTTAATATTGGGCAAATGAGAAGTTAGGCGACTTCCCTTCAGATCCTTCATTTCATTCAAACAAAATAAAACTGCAAATATAGCTTCTTCCTAGAATGCATTCGTTCAAATTTGGCTATTATAATTAATGTTGTCACAATTAATTTCACTTTGCAAATTCAATTTGTCAGGCACGCCCTAGAAGCACACTACAACCTACTTGAAATTGTGACAAGCCATTGTGAATTAATCGGACGCCCTGAACTCCTATTGCTCAATTTCAAGGTCAATGCGACGTTAGCTATTCGTTGTTCCGGCAGCAATTATCCGTACGATTGTCAATTCAGTTTGAATGCGCTATTTCTCATTGGCTAAAGTTACTGACCAATCACCATACGCACCAGCATTGAAATAACATATTAGCGAAGCAGTCGTATTTCGTTTGGCAATCCTACTGTACCCATGTATGTATACAAACCCATGACATTTTAATGGAATTAAACGGGGGGGGGGATATTTCTACTTTTTCTCTTAGTTTACTAGCTATTTACTCGTTTTTTTGTTTAATATAATATTTTGATATCAGAAAAAAATTTGTGACACTTCTTACTTTACAGGCAGCACGCTCGTGCCTTGATCCACCTCTTTGCACCAAATGGGGACAAATATAAGACCACAGTTGCTCCAACAGCCGGATTTTCACCAACTGCTGATGCCGAGTATTTAAAGAAGGCGATGAAAGGACTTGGTAAGTTGATTCGCATTTTTTTCCTTTTGATCAAATCTGCTGCGACTGAAGACGTTTTATAGATTACCTGGATATTCTATTTGGCGAGAAATTGTTAAGAGGCCTAAATGGTGCTGTTCTCAGAAAATTGTCTTTTTTGTTCTTTTTCTACTCTTACGCTCTTTCTCACCATCTTTCAATGCGGCTAAATTTCAGTTCATTTATATCGAAATTCCGTCTACCTACTGAAAATAGATTTCATTAGTGTCGGTGTTATTCAGGAACACTTATATCCAATAATCGATTTTAAACTACAACCCTGGCTGTTTGAACTCGTGTTTTGTTATTAGCTGTCAAACATTAAGACCTTAAATTGGGAATGAAGATTTCCCATTAGGCCAAATATACCGTTGAACTGTTATTTTTGTAAATAACGCTTTACTAATTGAATGACCCTAATCTCATTGGTTATCTTATTTAATTGTTATCTATTCGATTTCACTTTTGCACAAAGAAAATTTTTAGGCAGAGCCTAAGTTTTGTCTCAACAGTAGACTTTGTAACAAGATCAGACGTCCCATGAAGTATTATGCAAGTATTCAAACAGTTTTTAATTGAATTTTCTTCCAATTATCCTCAAAACGCTGGTTTCGGGCAAACAGATGCTTTAAAAATGTTCTCGCTGAGTTCAAAATAAAATCTACACAGAAAACTCATCTTTTCTCTATGGATTGGAATTGCATGCGAAAATGCAATTTTTTGGAACTGAAAGGTTAAACGATTACTTCAGGAACGATCAAAAATGTTGTGAACAATATTTCTGTCCCAACAAAGCAATATGAGGGTTATTTTTCGTTTCATTACTATGGTGCCTGAATTTAGCATGTGCTATTTTTTTCTAAAAAAACGTTTGGTAGTATAGGATGATAGTAGTAAAACATGACTTTCAAATTTCACTCGCTGCCTTGTTTATTTCGTCAAAAGTTAATTATATTGAGTAAATTAAATAAATATTTACATTATGGGACTTTAATTACCTTGACTTTACATTAAACTTTCCCTATGGTTTTGGTTGAGATAAATATGAGGGGGCATTAGTACTGTAATGTCAACTAGATATGCTCAATTTCCCCTAAACCCGTGCAAGTTCGGTGAGAACTTGAATTCAAAATATCTCCACGATAAACACTTCCATATCTGTACACATTTTTTGAACTATTAGAGTGCATGTGAGGATTTGATCGTGTTTGTTTGCAATAACTAACTCTTTGAAAGTAGCTTTAAAGTGCCGATCTAATATGATGATAAATTAGAGAAAAATTTTGCATTCTTGGCTATTTCTAGCCTGCCTTAATAACTTGGTCAGTAAGTCTTGAATGTACAAATCTATCCACATTGACTGAAAGGTGAAGGAAAGTATTGTGCGCAGAAGTGAGAAAGTATTTCCATTTGCGATTTCCTAATTAAATAAGAGCATTTTAGTTTCTGATTGCCTAATAGTTTTTTGGCATTGCTTTATAATTTTTTTTTATAATTCTATGATGAGCATATTCATGCCAAGACAAACTTTTGGTTTGTTTGAAGGGACGAATGAGAAAGCTATCATCAACATTCTAGGCCGACGAACGACATATGAAAGGATGGCGATTCGAGATGCCTATCCTTCAATCTCAAGCAAGGTTGGTCTAAAAGATGATTGTCCCATGAATTTGCAATAATTCATTTTGTTTTATACTAGATATATAAATGAAGATTTCATATAAGAACCATGATTATCAAAATTTCAAAAATGAAAATTATTATTTATATCTGATGAGAATGTGACGTAAGGCTTGATGATCGATAAAATCGCTACTAATTTGTCTAATTCCGCTTTTTACATGTTTGAAATGTTACTTCATATTTCATTATGCTTTGCATTTTAAGTTAAATTACATTTTTATCTTAAAAAACAGGAGGATAATTAGCAGACATATTGGCACTCAAATGCAGATATTGCCAATTAAATAATTCAAAGAGGAAAATTGTTATTTATATCTGGTGATAATATGATCTAAAATTCGATAATCAATAAAGTCTCGAGTAATTTAGCCTTCAAAATATATCTTTTAATAATCTTTTGCTTTGTATTAAATTGAATTTTTATCTGAAAGGTGTTAAAGAAATTAACTTTAAAATAAATAATTGTCCACTACTGATTATTACGATAATCAGATGAATTTCGATTGCACAATCTCCCATGTATAAACATCAATATTCTAAAGCGGGTAACGATTATATTTCTCAATTGAGCAAATTTAATGCGTGGTAGGGAATCGCTTTCAAAATATGTTTTTTTTTGATAAGCCACAGCAACGTTAAAAATGTTAGATGTGTGAATTTCCCATACCATTAACTTGGTAAAACGTTTAGACTGGCTATTTCAAAGTGCATTGTTCATATTAGCAAACCTCGGAAACATTTTTAATTGCATTCAGGAATCTGCAAGTTAATTACTTTAATTAATGTTTCCACCTAATTGCGCTGTCCTAGCCTTGATAGTATAGCTGAGGTCATAAGAATAAGGTTTCTCCTGGGAGAACAAGTCAAGCACTTTCTTATAATATTTATTTAAATCAAATAACAGGCTTTATGATAATTATCATTAGTCCTTTAATTGACTTTGGGTTTCATGGTAAGGAGGGATGTCAAAGTCACAGAAAGTAGAGAGGGGGGAGGGAACAGAGGAGTGATTTACAGGTGTAAGAGAGACAAATACAAAGGTAGAGAAAAGGTAAGGTAAAGTGAGTAATATGGAAGTGCTGGAATATGACATACAGCTGGGTCATGGTAGTTAGAAGTCATCTGCCAACAGCCGGTTTATAGACTTTTAGCCGAATGAATATATGTTGGCCAGGTTTGCAGATAAGTCTATCACGCACCCCATTTCTTAAAATATTGACCTTCTATTTCATTGAATTTCAATGCCATACATTGGAGGATAGTTCCTCTATAAGGAATATTTTATTTCTCTATATCGTATCGAAACAGTTCTTTTAATCAACGAAACAATGACTGGCGTGTCTAAATCTTCATCCTTTATGAAGAGTGCTTCACAATGCAGGTTTATTGGACAAAAAAGTTGATCTAAGTCCACTTGTACCATTTGCAATGCAAGAAGTCAAATAATAGTTCAAAGTATTTGTTTCACATAGACTCTAGAGAAGGCCCTGAAGAGCGATCTCAGCTGGAAATTTGAGGATTTCTGTCTGATGTTAATCAAATCTCCCGCTGAAATAATGGCGGAGGCTCTTTACGAGGCTATGAAGGGTCCTGGTACCAAGGAACGTGTTCTCAATGAAATTTTAGGTGGAATCTCGAAGAGCGAGATTAACGACTTGAAAAAGGCCTATGAAAATGGTTAGTTAATTTGTTTAATTCTTTTTCATCTCTTACCATTTCATAGTTATTTTAACCCGTATAACGTCCATTGGACCGTATAGTCTACTTTCAAAATAAGCTCCATTGGTACTAGACTCGTAACACCAATACTCATTGCATCTGCGGCATCGGTCGGCTGCTGAGAGACACGCCTGTGTGAGGTTGGGTACATTTATTAAAAATAATTCGGACGTTAAAAGGTTGCATAAAATTTAGTCATAACGTTTCCGCCAGGGATAATAAACGCCATATTACGCTCATTTTCACTTAATCAACTCTTCCGTTACTTTAACAATTTATTCACCAAGAGGGGGTGGGGGTGGGGTTATATTTACATTTATTTATATCAAATGGCAGGCGTTTTGATGGTTATCGTTAGTCCTTTAGTTGACTTCAGGCTTCACAGAACATCAAAGTGAAAAAAGTCGATAGGGAGGGAGGAATAGAAGAGTGTATCAAAGACGAAGGTAAAAAAAGGTAGAGAAAAGGTGAGGTGAGTACTGTGAAAGTAGTCGACTATGACAAACAGTGGAGCCATGGCAGTTTGAAGTGAGAAGTCAACTGCCGGTTTATAGACCTTTTGGCCGTGTAAGAGTACGTTGCCCAGGGAGCACCACGTGGAGGCAAGTCTATCGCTCACCCAGGGTTGAGGGCACTCTATAACCATCACCCTTATCCGCGTCTGCTAACTGCTCATTGCTCTGACTGCCCCCCTTTAAAGCCAACTAAATTGCCTTTCCAGTAAGTGGTGGAAAAAGCCTTGAGGATGCAATAAGGGGGGACACCAGTGGTGACTACCGAGAAGCCCTTTTGTTGGTACTGGCCGGTCAATCTGACGAGCCTGATACTCACCAATTGAAGAAGCTCAATGCGGAAAATGTGCATGAACTCATCAACGTCAGCTTGGCTGAAAGGGATGCAAAAGAGATTTACGATTGTGGTGAAGGGTATGTGATAATATGATAAGTCAAGCTTATTTGACCATTTTCGTCTTGCTTAACAAATTTCGCATACTACTAATTGATCTAGCTGAACCTGCAAATTGGATTTAAGTAGTATATGAAGTGAATTAGATCTTTCTAAAGTAATATACTTTTATAGAACTGCCAAAGTATATCCCACTTCCAGCCTAGTTTAAAAATGCGGTATCAGTAGCCAAATGTAGGCAGTGAGGAACTTGAATCATCGATCGTATTAACTTCTCTCTTCTTAATTAAGTTATTACATTAAAATTACTCTTGTTTCCTTTTACCCTGATCGTCATACTTCCTCTTTAAATTAACTTTATTTTGTCAGCATTGTGCCAATTCCAATTGGGGCAAATATCGATTCACCCTTTTTTTACCTATTTTAGACGTTTGGGCACCAAAGAAAGTCGTTTTATGCGGCCGATCATTAATCGTTCCGTCTTTCAATTAAACGCCACAAATGAGGCTTATATAAGGGTAAATCATTCCGCTGCGATCCCCCCCCCCCACCTCTACCAATTTTGCCCCCCCCCCACAAGGCCATCATATTTATTAAAATATTTATTTTTTTATTTATTTCAAATGGCAGGCGTTATGATAGGTTTTTTTAGGCCTTTAGTTGACTTTGGGCTTCACAGAAAGGAAGAGTAACATCAAAGTGGCCAAAAGACGAAAGGGGGACAGAACAATGTTTCACAGATGTAAAAGAGGTAGACAGACAGACACAAAGGTAGAGAAAAGGTAAGGTAGGATCAGTGCTGTGGAAGGGGTTGAATATGACAAGCGAAAAGGTGAGGTGAGCACTGTGAAGCGGTGGAATATGGCATACAGTGGGTTGATGGTAGTTTGAAGTCAGAAGTCAAATACCGGTTAATAGACTTTTTTACCGAGTGAGTATACGTTGCCCAGGGTGTACCACGTGGAGGTAAGTCTCTCGCACACCTCTTATTAAAATGTTGAAGCGCATTCAATGTCATCTTGAAGAAAAAAATGCATAGAAGTAAAATAAAGACGGTGATCTAATTCTGCGACTGAAAATTGTACATTAGTTCTATTATTGACTTTGTATTCATTATAATTTAATTTTTTGCTAATATTCTAGAAATACGGAAAGCCTTTGGTTGAGGCTATTAAAAAGGAGACGTCGGGAGATTTCGAAGATTTTCTCCTCTTTAAAGGTAACCTTGTGTGTGTGCACGGGTTAATTTTTTTTGCACATTTCATTCAATTTTAATTGTAAAAGACGCAAAACTAGCGCTCTCCTTCAAATTATAAAATCCAATGAGAGGCGAGAGAGAATTCACGGAAGGCAGGAATCGTGATTGGTACCGCTTAGCTTAACTTCAAAATCAATAGAACAACAGAAGTAAAGCCATGTGCAGCTCAAGAACATTCTGGAATTTGACATTCTAGCACTGTCTTTTTAGTACTTAATGGAAATGGAAGGAAAAGGGTGCACGAGGCAGAGAAGGAAAAATCGTTTTCCCTAGAAGAGCGGAATTCGGGTTGTGATAAAGACCGCTCTTTGGTGCTAAAATGAAGTTGGGAAATTACGTGTTCTTAGTTCATTTATGAGTAACAATGACTTGCATTCCATAGAAAAAAAAACAAACTTCAGAAGGTCAGGTTTTGAAACTACTCTCATCTTCAGAGCAGTGGGTTTGTTAGTAGGCAAATTGCAACATTTAAGGCCACCAAATATGTTTCTACTGAAAGATCTTAAGTAGAGCATACCAGTCGGTACAGAAGTAAGCACTTAAAGCATAGGTCAATATGTTAATCAATATACCCATACATGCTCATCATCATATCTCTTACTGAGAGGAATGTTAATGATCATTTCTGCAAGATAATCAATTCCCCTAACTTCTGAAACCTTCTATGCTTTTTAATCCACCTCCTCATCGCTTGAAAATGCCGAAAGCTCTTTAAAATTGTCCTTCCCCCTCTCAATAAGATATTTCTTAGTGGGCATGTATTCAGTTCACACTTCCTACGATACTCTACAAAGAAAAAGTTTTGTTTGACTTTTTTCGAACCATTGCTTAAGAAGTTTTGTTTCTACAGTTCGATATGCCACCGATCGGGCGGCTCTCTTTGCCGAACTGCTGAATTTCTGCATGAAAGGAATCGGAACAAAGGACGTGACTTTGCAACGAACTCTTGCCTTGAGAGCCGATGTAAGTTGTATCTCCAATTCTGCTCAAAGTTGAATCTACTAAAATTGCTTGAAATGCTATTTAATAGATTGGATGTTAGTTTAGAGAAAGAAGTTCATTTATTTACTGAATTCCTGTCGTCAAATATTTTAGACTTAAACTTATTTGTTAGAGCATTTCAAAGCCTTTTTAAAGTGCACAAGCATGCATAGCTATAGTAAATTAAGCATGATTTTAATTAAGTGAGTGTTAAACTCCCTAGTGGATTGATAGCACAGATTTTGAGATTAAATGCAATAAAAACATTCTGATACTCCTGAACTGTTTGTAATATCTGTTAGCATGCAGTCAGTGTTAAATCGAGAGTTTTGCTGTAAATGACCCGCCGAAAATGAGCTGAAGTTAAAACAAAGCACACGGACGAATCAAAGCAGAGGAGCTGTTTTCTGACTGGTAATGAGTTTCAATATGATTAGAAGCTACAGAATGGCAAACAATTTAAAATAATAATTCATCACTGCCAAGAAGGTAAAATCAGTCAGTGGCGAGTCCAATAAATGGGTAAAATTGCCACAATTGTTTTTATTCTAAATCTGATTTCGCAAAGTTTGCTTGGTACGTAATCCACACTCAAATTAAATTTTCATGATTCCTCGCGTTAATTACCGAGTGGCTTATTGCCCACTCTATGCACTCCTCATTGACAGATCGTTCAATTATGGCGGATTTTTCACCATCTCAAGTGTGTGTAGAGAGAAAAATGATTCTACATGATCTTTACGTAGCAGACCTGAGGTGCCTCAATTGTTTAATCTTGAAATATGTATTTATTACAAATGGCAGGCACTTTGATAGCTATCATTAGCCCTTTAGCTGACTTCGGACTTCACAGTGAGGAGGAGGAACATCAAAGTGATATAAAAGTCGAGAGGGGGAACAGGAAAGTGATTCAAGGATGCACAAGAGACAGACAGACACAAAGGTAGAGAAAAGGGTAAGGTGAGGTGAGTACTGTGAAGTAGTCAAATATGACATACAGTAAGGGGATGGTAGTTTGATATGAGAAGTCAACTGCCAGTTAATAGGCTGTTTTTGCCGTATGAGTATACGTTGCTTAGGGTGCATCATGTGGAGGTAAGTCTATCGCACACCCCTAAGCGAGAAATATAAACTTGACTAAATATCTTGTGCTTCAATGTTTTACAATAACATAGCCCCTTGCTGTTTATATCTTCCAGGGTCTCTTATTGGAAATACTGCTACTTATTATCTGCCTTTTAGACGGATTTGGGTTCAATCAGGGACAAGTACGCTGAACTTTATGGAGAAAGTCTGGAAGATGCTCTCAGAGGAGATACCTCTGGAGACTACAAGTCTCTCTGCTTGAAACTCATTGGAGCTTAAATCAAATTTTGAAAATTATTTACTTGAGCTACTTTCTATTATTCCGAACTAGTGTCTCTTGCTTCGTTCTTCTGCTTGTATCTTATTTCTGCCTCTTTTGTACGGCCTGCGATTTTTAAAACTATTAAAACATAATCAGTAGTATCTAATATGCTGTGTCTTCTTAATTTTTTTGCTCAAAGAAAATGATCACTGGTTATTGTACTCTGAAAATGAATCCAATTTATGTTTTGAAGTATGTCTGAAGCCAGTCTGCATGTGATATCAACTGCAGTTAATGGAGATATAACTAATAGGCTCCACTTGCGGTACGGTACCAAGCCGATAGAATGGAAGGCCCTGGTTACATAGCACAAGAGTGTATCGATTAGATTAGCCCACAGGTGGCGTGTCAGGTGGTGCACATCCGCAGATCCCCGTATAAATGGCGCTTCAAGTGCAATCCCGACAGGCAGTAATAAAAGAAATATGCAATTAAGATTAATAAATGATCAACTGGGCTAAATACGCTAGCGAATTGGGAATTACGATCTAGTAGGAGTTTGAATAATGTGTTCAATTCAGCTATCTGCCCAGCTTGATAAGATGAATCAGTGCGAAAATTTCTTAATTTGCCAAAATTTATTTACTCATTTATTTCTAATGTCGGACGTTTGGTAGATATCATTAGCCCGTTAGGTGACTTCGGACTTCACAGAGAGGAGAAACAGAAAAGGGAGGGGCGAAATTCGAGAGGTGGAACAGAAAAGTGATTTATCGACGTAAGAGAGACAGACAAACACAAAGGTAGAGAAAAGGTAAGATGAGTATTATGGAGAAGTGTAATATGACACAGTGTCGGGTCAGAGTAATTAGTAGTCAGGAGTCAATTGCCGGTTGAGAGACTTTTTTTGCCATATGATTATCGTTGCCCAGGGGAGCGCCACACGGAGGTAAGTCTATCGTGCTTCCCTTTTGTTAAAATTGATTAATTTAAGCAAAACTAAAATTGTTAAGGGGAGTTATAGGCAGATTTGTTTTATCTGATCGTCCACATTTGCACAAAGTAACTCTAAAACACCAGAGCTTACTTCCGTATAATTAGGATTTCCAGGGAAAGAACTTTCAAAATTGATTTTATTTCATTTATAAAAAATTGAATTTCAAAGTTTTTAATTCAAACGTTATCATTATTAGCAGAAAACATAATCAGCTGCTTTACGCAACGTATTGAGCTCAAAGTGTCAAACTAGCTTTCAAAACAAAAAACATCTCGTTATTCTCTATTTAAAACCATTGCTACGGTAAGCCAATGTCGTTGAAGCATGGTTCATCTTTGCGACATCAATGCTTGATTTCTCATTGGTCAAACAGATTGACCAATCATTGGGCTCTCCTAGTGGAGCTAAAGCTTACTCTAGGACAGCCATTTCATTTCGCTTGCCAAGTAGACAGATGTACGTTCCCCTTTAAGCATTTCCATGTGGACTTGAATTGAATAACTCCCTTTTTACATTGCTGAAATCTTGCTGGATCAAAGTTTGATATGATTAAATAAGATTTAAAATTACCTAATTGGAAATAAAAAGATAACGAGTTCCTTTCGGTTTGCAGGCAGTACGCTCGTCCTTTGATTCATCTCTTTGGACCAAACGGTGAAAAGTACAAAGCAACAATTTCACCAACTCCTGGATTTTCACCAACTGCTGATGCTGAACATTTGAAAGCGGCGATGAGGGGAATTGGTAATTTTCTACCTTAGCACTGTAACAGTTCATTGCAAAACAACTCTTGCGTTACTTGCCCCTTCCAATAGTAACTTTTGAGATTGGCTTATTGACCATCCAATAAGCGCACCAACGGGTAAATACTTAATTCGCAACCATGACAATTAGAGGAGGAACGGATATATGCACAAATTTTGAAAATAGCTTAATCCGCACATATTTACGTTTAAATTACGTTTAAAGTTCTTAAAATCTTAAACTTTGATAGAGTGACTTTATTAAGACAAATCGTTCATATTTTATTTACTGGTTAGTTTAAGTCTGCAGAAGTTAAATGTCAGAAAAATTAAGTCCACGTTTTTATTTAAATTAGTATTGATATATTGAGATCATCGTTGCTTTGAATAAGCATTGATGACCTTTCGCTACCTGTTGTAGACTGGCGGTGGTGAGATGGTTTTTGGTTGAGGTTGAACATGGGGACATTAGTTCAATAAAGTTAACTGGATATGCTAAATTTGCACTGAATGAAGTAAGGAAATATTTTAATTGGTTGGCCGCATCTTCTGTCATAATTTTATCATTAATTTTTTTTTACAATTCTATGATGAGCATATTCATCCCAAGACAATCTTTTGGTTTGTTTGAAGGGACGAATGAGGAAGCTATCATCAACATTCTAGGCCGACGAACGACATATGAAAGGCTGGCGATTCGAGATGCCTATCCTTCAATCTCAAGCAAGGTTTGTCTGAAAGATATTTCTTCCATTAAATTTGCATTGCTTCGTTTTGTCTCATTCTAAATATAAGTGATAATGGTATTTAAGAACTATGAATTCCATCAATTATTAACTCTATGAAAGTTTCTTTCTTACTTTAGTGTAACTTTAATACCCCTCCCCTCATCCCATCATAGGAAAATTGTTATTTATATCTGTGGGGAATGTTGCCTAAGGCTCGATAATCGATAAAATCGATACTAATTTGTCTAATTTCGCTTTTCGTGTTTTAAAAATGTTAATTCATATAATGTTATGCTTTATATTTTGAGTTAAATTGAATTTTTATCAAAAAACGGCACTCAAATGCGGAAAATGTATAAAATTTCTCTATTTCGACTGTTAGTAATAATTGCAGCCAATACTTTGTGTCTAGGTTATGGAATTTCGAATAACATTATTAGAGCAGTTAATTCCATATCTCATTAAAGTGGGATATTATGCAAAAATTTGCAAACAACCTCTAGAAACGCTTCACAGATCAATGCATGATCTGGCAGCTCACTTACTGTTCATAATTAAATAGGCAAATGGTTACCCACACGCCATTAGGTAGATACCAATGGATGTGAATTTCGTAACTTCTAACCTAGGCAGCTTGTGCGTTTGGCTCTGTGCCATCACCCCCCTATTACCACAAAACCGTTGCATTGACTATTTCAGCTGAGTAATAACTGAAATTCGAACGTAGAGTCCGCTCAAATATAATGACGCAGAGTTTCCTGGGTGTTTTACAGCAATAGACCTCTACGTGGCACCTACGCTGATGTAAGTGAGACACAATTAAGCGTACCTGGTGCTCTGGTTACGGATTGTTGCTATCTAATTTGTGTGTATTTTTGTGTGCTAATATGACAGTATTCTTTGACCTAGACCCTCGATGAAGCATTGAGAAGTGAGTTGAGCAGAAGCTTTGAGGAATTTTGTCAACTGTTAATTCAGTCACCCGCGCAAATAATGGCAGAGGCGCTGTATAAGGCCATGAAAGGCGCCGGTACCAAGGAACGAGTTCTCAACGAAATTTTTGGTGGCATCTCGAAGAGTGAAATTGTCGACTTGAAGAGGGCTTTTGAAAACGGTCAGTAGAGTTTTATTCACATTAAATTGTCTTTCGTACTTCAAGCAATATTAGATTACATTGAGCTTAGATCTTTCAATCACTTTTCCTCACTTATCTGATGTCGTTAATTAAACTTGTTGGCCTTGGTCAGTGGAGATGAAAAACCTAATTGTATGGCTAAAATCACAACCTTTAAGAAGTTCATCATTACTTAAGTCGAATACTGATTCACTTCACACTATTGGCTTCTCTCAATCAAGACAAAATGATTAACTTCACCCCGTATCTTCGTTTCTACCATTTGACTTATTTATATCAAATGGCAGGCGTTATGATAGGTATCATTAGGCCTTTAGCTGACTTCGGGCTTCACAGAGGAGAAGGGGGAAAATTAAAGAGGCAAAAAGTCGAGAGGGGGGGACAGAATAATGATTCACGGACGTAAAAGAGACAGACAGGCACAAAGGCAGGGAAAAGGGTAAGATGAGTACTGTGGAAGGGTTGGGATCAGAAGAGCGATTCACGGACGTAAAAGAGACAGACAGGCACAAAGGCAGGGAAAAGGGTAAGATGAGTACTGAGAAAGTGGTGAAATATGACAAACAGTGGGGTCATGGTACTTTGAAGTCAGAAGTCAACTCCCAGTCAATGGACTTTTTTGCGTACGAGTATACGTTGCCCAGGGTGCACCACGAGGAGGTAAGTCTATCGCACACCCCTTTCTACCAATTGACCGCGGCGCCATTCAAATCAAAATTTCACATGTAAAATGGGTAATTAGTAGTGTTGTTTATAATCCAACTCTTTCAATGTCATCTACTTTAAAAAGGGTATCTTCACACATCTTCCAACATTTAGGTTTTTTACGCAATGCAATAGTTCCAAAGTCCATTTGAGATGCTGCTGTTTTTTTCAACTGCATCTTAGATAAAATGTAGCCTTCCTGGTTGTAGAGCACTCCACTCGTCAGGTGTACACTGTTGCGTATCCAATCATTGACACCTGACCTTGCAAATGTGCATGTGTGATGTAACTGTAAAGGTCTTTTCTACTTCATTGTGTGTGTGTGTCCTTAGACCTAGTCAGGTACTTACATTGAGAATAACCACTTAAATACTTTACATGTGATTCAAGCTACGTGTGTGCTTTGTTTTAACTGCAATCAAAACTGCGTGCTTTATTCCTTTCCGCAAAACGCTATTGGTTGTTAAATTATGGCCAGTGTTTATTCTAGTTGTTTTTTTTGACCATTTTAGTAAGTGGAGGAGAAACTCTTGAAGATGCAATAAGTGGAGATACAAGTGGGGACTACAAAGAGGCTCTTCTATTGATTCTGGCTGCTCAATCTGACGAACCACCGGCACAACAATTAAAGAATCTTTCACCGGCCAATTTGCATGAATTTGTGAACAAGGGTTTGGCAGAACAAGATGCTAAAGAGATTTACGACAGTGGAGAAGGGTATGCGAACCGAGTTTAAGTCAAAGTACTCTTTGCTTTCCAACTTAAAGGAGATATTGATTTTTTTTAATATTTTTTCTCATCGCCAGTGAATTTTCTGCAGTCAGCAGTCCAACTTGGTAATTTTCCATTTAGAAGTAAAAGAAGACATTAAAATGGGATGACTAACTAATTAAATTAATCTACTGCTTAAATTTCCTTGAATATTTTTAACAAGAATCCGGGGACTGCATCCAACTATTTATTATTTGAGATTTATTGATGAAAGGAAAAATATCCTACTTAAATGTTCACTTAAACACTTTCTTGATCTACTATGAAGTTGCCACCCACAGGCAAAATCTTGTAAGTTATCAGGCACTTACCAAGAGTGTCTGAATTAAAGTTCCGCTAAACTCCTTCCAATACGTTGGATGTTGTTTTTTGAAGGTAGCAGCGGATTGCAAAACTAATATGCCTTGGTTCATTCCCAGTGACTTCTACGGAAAGATCTCCTGGTATGATAAAGCTCCCGAAGTTACCCAAGCTGTCTCAGTGATATGGAGGAAACAGACGTACGACTTGGAATATGTTTACTTGGATTTCGTGAGGAGATTTCTGAAAGTGTGTACCCGGATGAGGGGCTATTGACATTGAGCGTACTTATTAAGTACTGTTTGGGTACGATGACCCTGAAATGGCTATTGATTATTGGTTGGTCGAGAAGTCTCTTCACGTGTGACTTTGTTTGCTCCCTGCCGATATTAGTATCACGGTCGCACGTTGAAGAATGGTCGAGCGTGCATGACCTTGTCTAGTCTAACTTTGTACTCCACAAGTCCGTGTATTTGCACCTTCTTTCTAAATTGCCCTGTGGAATCGGAATTTGCTCAAATCTAAATTTAAAATGTGCCAAAAAAGATCATTTTTAATTAACACTTAATTTTTTTCTTTAAACGAAAATTCGGCTATAAGTTTATACTGACGTAACAATCGTGAGATTTGAGAGGTGTTAAATCAATTTTTTGAGAAAAAAGGGTATTTTGTTTCCTTCTTACTTTAAGACGTATGCATAATTAACTTATTTCTGCGGTATCAATCACTCTCCCTGGTATTTCTATTGTAACGCGTGGAAATTGAGTGGTTGCGAAAGGAGGTCATTCACGTAAAGTGTGGATTTGTGTTTTTCTTTCGTGTCGATCAAAATTAACTTTAATATGGGAGACTTGTGAAATGAAATCTATTAGGAGTCTCTGAAGTTTGCGTAAAATTCCGAGAAATTAAAATCGTCTTTGGTTCTTGAAATCAGACCAGATGTGAATTTTTTTCCTTAAATTACCAATGAATATTGCATTATTATCAGAACTAAGAATTTTTAATTGTCATTTAATTGTGCTTTATTTATAACTCATGCAATTATTTAATTTCCCTCTGTTTTATGTTACCATGTCAATACATTCATTGGTGGAAAAAAAGTATGGATCGTTTAATTTTAGCTCAATTGAGGTAGATTTCAATGTCAGAATTCTACACTTTGATTAATTTCGATCTAGAGGATTATTGATCGATTCATTAGGTTGCCTATTATAATAACGCTATCTACTGGGATTTTCAAAGATAGAGCTGTACTGAAAGTTAGCTGTCTCGTTGCCTAATCTCATTCAATCAATCATTTTAGACGGATGGGTACCGCAGAAAACCGTTTCATGCGACCAATTCTCAATCGCTCTTTCATCCAACTAAACGCCACAAATGAGGCTTATATGCAGGTAAATGTCTAAAGTCACTTCACCTATGCCACCACTGGTTTTATTGTCTATTGTGCTATGTTGTCTATAAAACAGTCGTGCCAAAATATGCCACCTTTTCGCCGTTGTGTTAAAAGTTTTTGGATCAAAGTTTCGTATTGAATTTCTCACAGCATTGCCAACCTAGGCCTAAATCGACCTATGAAAAAGTGTATTCTCTCAGAAGCGCAATTTCTAAAGAAAATGTATTTATTTATCGTATTTTTCATTTTAATTTCAAGATAAATACTTCATCTATTAACTAAAAGAGAATTTAAAATTTCATTTTACATAAATATTTACTTTTTTATAAAATTTTGAATGAATGAACTTAATTTAATAATTCTTAATTTACAAATTCGTGGTGTTTTAGAAGTATGGAAAGCCTCTGGTTGAGGCCATCAAGAAGGAGACTTCGAACGATTTCGAAGATCTGCTTGTCTTTAGAGGTAAAGGCTACTAAAATCTAAAAAAACCATTGTTCTAATCTTCTTTTCCTTCCAGTTCGATATGCAATTGAACGAGCCGCTCTTCTTGCCGAACTCCTTCACTTTGCAATGGCGGGGGCTGGAACCAAAGATGCCACTTTACAACGCACGTTGGCCTTGAGAGCAGATGTAAATGTTTTGCAGATTGAGTTGAAGATCTTATTTCTTAACATATTACTTAATATGAATAAGTAGAATACGTGCACGCTTTGGGGGGGGGGGGACAGAGAGATAGTAAAACCCTGATTCCTATTTTGCCGGTATATTTGAGGCATCCTTTAAGCGCCTTTAAACTTTTTTTATGCCAATGTGCTCGTATGGCTCTTCAACATGTATGTTAACCTCAAGAGTTAAACACTTCGACAATTAGTTAGCCCTAATCCATTTGAGTGGTCTTCGAACTTGATTTATCCTTGGGTGAATTATGACTAAGGAATTACCTGATCGCATGTAGGGGTTGTACAGGTAGCTTAAAATAGCGTATTTAGGAATAATTTAACTCATTTCAATGCGAGTCCTAATGATTGCCTAGTCATCTATCGTATTCGCTCAGAAATTTTCATTTTTGATGTCAGTGTGTAATTTTCTGTTTTTTTAATATCAAAAATTCAAAATTACCGCTTGATTCTTTTTAAAACAAAGTTTACTAATTAACTTTTCTTATGTTATGCCTCTAGACCGATCTAGGTGCTATTAAGGAGAAGTACGCTGAGCTTTATGGAGAAAGTCTGGAAGATGCTATTAAAGGGGATACGTCTGGGGACTACGAAGCTCTCTGCTTGAAACTTATTGGAGCTTAAATTCAATTTAAACAAATATCGATCCAATCTGTTTTGAATTTCTTAATAATGTCTTTTCCTTCTATGTTGCGGTCCTTTTTTTAACTTCCGCCTTTTTTGTCCAATAATTAAATAAATAAATTTAATTATTTTATTGCCACTGCAATTTCAATGGTACTGCATCGTTGGAGACACCAGTTAGTGGCACAAAAGTTTTGACATAATATTGCTTTTCTACTTCATGCCACTGCATTAACGAACCACTCAGAATTGGGAGAGTGGGTGAGGGCAGGACAGAATGACCCCCGGGAATATTCAACGCTCATGCATCGAATATTGCTATAAAATTTCCATCTCCTCGATAATATACTTTATTTTCACTTCCCCATCGATTCGATATCTTATTTGACTCAAATGGATTGCGAATTAAATTATTATCACCTTAATGAATTAATTACCTCAAGATAAATAAGTGGGGGTGTTCAATAGATTTACCTCCACGTGTGCACTCTGGGCAGTATATACTCAAACGACAAAATTGTCCATAAAAAGGGAGTTGACTTCAAACGACCATGACCAGACTGTGTGCCGTATTCTACTACATCCACAGTACTCACTTTACCTATTTCTCTACCTTAGTATCAGTCCGTCTGTCTCTTTTAGATTTGTAAATCACTCTTCTGTTCTCCCTCTCGAATTCGTGTGAAGTCCGAATTCACCTAAAGGGTTAATGATAACTATCATAAAGCCTGTCATTTGGGGCAAATAAATGACAACAAAAAAACTGTTTTGCATTTGAATTAGCATTAAAGATTTGGAAGTAGGAATCATTATATTAGGGATTAACGTAAAATCTTAAGTCATTTACGAACAAGGGCTGCAAGTAGAGACTAGAAAGCTTTAGAAATTTTTCCTTAAAATTAATTGTTCTTATGCCTCAATAGTTTCAAGTATGAATGCATATTTTCGATTCAGTTTAACAATCCCGTAAACTTAGACGTAAACGCACGTGGAAGATAAATCAATAAATCACTTAAACTACTTTCGTCAAAACAGCTGATTAGCAAACTGCTTAAGTATGGATTCTCTAAAGAAAACTTCTGAAAAATTAAACGATTCTAGTGAACGGATTGCAGTAGAGGGATGCAATTCTCAACCAAATATACCACAAATTCTTCCAGTCGCGGACATTAATCTGCTAACAGCGGCTCTATTTCAATCAATCCTTGCTTCAGAGCTATCAAAAAATGCTTGGGAACTTTTCCAGGCTTCGACGCAAGCAGCACCATCTGATATCAATCCTCTTGATCTTAGAACCATTTCCCTTCCATTCGCCTCTAACTCGACGAATAAACCTAATCTAAATGAGATCAAGGGTTTAGACCTTCGACTACTTAGCTTTCCATTCATGTTGAATTCTTCGAATGTTCCCATTAAGAACGAGATACCTATTGAAGAACCACAATCTCAAAGTAAACAATTTAGGTCGATTCTGCCCAAAATAGATGAGTGTGAAATGGAGAGGCCTCTAGATTTTTTAAACTACTCAACAGAACATCGTTGTCCCTATGCAGGTTGTGACAAAACATTTCGATTCAATCATGCCTTAGTTAATCACTACAGAATTCATACAGGAGAAAAGCCACATGCCTGCGATTTTCCTGGATGTAAAGCTGCTTTTGCTAGACATTCCAATCTCGTAACACATCGAATGATCCACCTGAACCGATCTATGCGGAAGACATTTGACTGTCCAGTTCCTGGTTGTGATAAAAACTTCTTGAAGAAAGCCAATCTAGATGACCACATGAATATCCATCTGAATAAACGACCATATGCTTGCGACTATCCAAATTGTGGAAAGGCGTTTAGATGCAGGAGTAATTTAAGTGGACATAAGAGAGTACACGTACGACTGGAAGCGAAGAAAAGAGCGAGTAAAATTTCATCCCTGGAGGAGAACATCAATTCGTCATCGGGTGAGGCTGAAATCTGTGATGACCATCAGGATGATGGTGAGGTGATACAAAGAGAAACGTGACTAATGATCGGGAAAAATGTAGGCAGAATTGTATACACTTCTTAAATTCAAAGAGAAAATAAATGGCATAATACATATATTCTAGCTAACTTTAAATAATTTATACCTCAAGAAAAATTTCTCTAAAATGTTTCGAATTGATGCATTTCTGAAGAATTTGTAACCAACGAAACCACAGTTGATGGTGGTATGTTTTGGGAACCCTGCTAGGTTCACTCTATGAGGAGCTGAAAGGATTAAGAGCAGAAACTGCTAAGTTCTGACCATACTTCCGTGAGAAATGACAGTAGCGCAGAGAGAATATCAAATCGTAGGTAGTTTGGCAGTTTAAGATAGAAAGAAAATGTCTAGTGAAAGTGGTCGGTTGACCGATATGATTCATACAGAGCCCAACGGTGATATAGTGGAAACCTTGGGCAATAGAATTAGGTTTTTAGAACTTCTGAAATCCCTGGACATGATTGTTAAGATAGTGTGAAATTCCGTTGAACGTTTAAAAATCTGGGCTGGTTGTTGAAAGAACAACTATAGTCTTTGAACTGAGTCAAGCAGTGTGCGTCCAGATTCTCTAAAACTTCCCTTGAATATTAAGAATCTCGCGCTCCATTCTGCCAGACTTTGAACAGTGGACTTTTAAAGTGATTTTCGCATTCAATGGCTATTATTAATTTCATGTTGACATTGGAAAGCTGTTAAAACAGGTATTAGCCCTTGAATGTCATTTTTATCGCCTAAATTCATGAGGCAATATTAGTGCGCACCTCCAGGTGATGTTTTTTTTCGACGCACACGATTGCCTTTTACTAATGTTAATTGAGGTGCGAACAGCATTAAGTTCAATACGGAAAAAACGCGGAAGAACCCCCACCAATGACAAGCCAGCATTTAAAATATTGCCCGTGAAGTCGCCTACCTTTACCTTCAACGCAACTTGAAGCATCCTTCTTACTCTTACTCATTAACATGCTTCCTTGGCAGACGCAGTATCTTTATAGTGACAAACGCTTAACTAGTTCATACTCACCCAATCACTATCTTCATTCAAGCAAAAGTCAAAGAGGACACACACACGATTTGATGAAATTATTCACACAAAGATCAATGACAACTTATACACAAAAGGGCAATCAGCAAAAAACCAATCATTCTAAACGATGAAGGGGAGGAAGAGATGAAAGATTTAAATCAAGTAGAAAATCAGGCAGATTACAGCAGTACGATCAGGGTTGGGGGGTGAGAATGGAAAGAAGGAAGAGAAGGAAAAAGGCACTTCTACATTTTCCCTGTGGTTAATGTGACGACGGTGTCTTTAGGTTCAACAACAGACCCCTCATACGTGAGAGATCATGAGTACTTTTGGTGTTCTTGGACTGCAAGAAAATGGAAATTATTTCGATATGAGAACAGAAAAAAAGACGTTCAAAAAGGAAGAATGACTTACAGTAAGATCGCACATTCCACAGACGTTTTCCCAGACAGCGGTGTCTCTGACAGTTGGAGCAGTGCCAGAGAATCCATCGTAAGCTTTTCCAGAGGCATCTCGTGGAGCTTCTGTGCGGTTGTCCGCTGAACGGAGAGCCATCTGCTTTCGGTAATGGGCGTACCATGCCTCCAACTCCTGAAAAGTCCATTTATTACTTAAACAAACTGTTTTAAACAGTTGTGGACAGACTGTTTTCAGATTATATGCGTACTATGTTGGCAAGCTTCGCAAAATACCATATCAAGCAATATTGCTTAAACGGATGGATTTATGTCGTTAAACATTTTAAACACATGATTACAGTGCATACCGGTTACGTTACAAGGTGACTAACCTCAAACGCTCATAGCTCGGTAATGGACATAGTATGAATGCAACCGTTTGGACAATAAGGAATAGTATAAATGTTACTCACACCAACCAAAACCAAGCCACAAACTAGGGCAAATCCGTTTGTAATAATTGAGTAGCACCAAAAGGAGTAATTTAAATTGTTGACCCCAAGACATCCGACTTAAAGAAGCAATAGTACACCAATGAATCGCCAAATTTAAATAGGCGCAAAAAACATAGCATGAACTCCAAAAACCTAAGGTAACTTCGGATTTTAGTAGAAAATAAAGTCACCCGCTAGTCTGTGTATAAGAAAGAAAAACTAGGGATCTAGACGGATAATTTAAAGTAAACAAGGCCTTGATGATACGAGGCTACAGCTTGGCAGGCTATATTAAAACGGGCAACCACATATAGACCAATGACATATGGAGTCTAAGGAAACAATACCTTCGAAAAATGGAATCAAATGATCTAGTAACGAATATAAAAGTTACGAATAAATAAATTCAAGCAAGAATGATTACCTTTTTCGCTGTCGTTTCCCACTCAGCTATTTTCGCAGCTTCTTTTTCATCCCGAGCTTTAATATCAGCCTCAAAATTAGCCTTCCAAGATTCCATAAAGGCATTTTCATGAGGTGGGTTACTAGGGGAAAAAACTTTGGTGTCGTCAAGTCCGTTAGCATGTTCCTCAACCGCTTCCTCAGACCTAGCCATAGAAGAAGCTGAAGTAGAATTTTGACGGCGCCCTAATTCTTCGGGTTCGATGACGTAACTATTATCTCTTTTGGAATCTACATCAAGGTCTGAAATGTAAACAAGCTCATTAAAAATAATCAATGCGAAAAACAGAAGAAAATTTTATTAAAGTACCCGAACCGCCACCATCTCCGCTAGGAACTTCGCCGGATAGACCATCATTATCATCTCTTTCCCAAGCAAAGGAATCAGATTGAGGCGCTTCAGCCATCTAGGAAGTCGCAATAATGTTGTACTGGTGCAAATTGACCGCTTTACATTAAACTTAGAAGAAGAAATTTAGTAAACGTTCAAGAACTTTTCTTGAAGTCTTAAATAAAACCAAATATCATGTGTAACAATTTTATATTCTATTCGACAGAATTTAAAATTTGTTTCTAAACGCATTTAGCATATTATTCAGTTCGTTTTAATAAAATTTATATATTTGTATTTATAATAAATAATATTGAAATTTTATCGTTATAACTATTTATATGCTTATTTTTACGCATTCTTTAGAACATGCATTATTTTAATTATTAAAAATTGTCGCTATTACTGTTTGCGACAAATTGCGCTCTTATAAATGGTGAAGGTTACTCCAGATGTGCTTCTCAGATCGACATCAAGCGCCAATAAAAAAGGAGATGAGACTTTCAAAAATCTTATGGGCAAAACGACACACTTGTACATGAATAATAAGAATATCGATGATGCGGTGTGTCAAATATGGAGTTACTTTATTGCTATAGGGAGATGCATTTAATCATTGCACCAGACTCCAAGTTCTCTATTTGTATGAAAACAATTTAACTGCCATACCGAAGCTTTCATCAAATACATGTTTAACCCACTTATATCTACAACAAAATAATATATCCAGGATATGTGGTTTGGAGAGTCTTGTTAATCTAGAAAAATTGTATGTCTGGCATCAGCCTTATTTTTTCTCTAGGGTTTTATCAGGAAATAAAGTTGCGGTTCTTGAAGGATTGGAATCTCAAAAAAATCTGAGAGATCTTCGGATTGACCACCAGCGACTTCCAACTGGAGAGGGTATAATCGTGGATCCACGAAGTACCCTAACTCTTAAAGCACTGCGAAATCTTGACATTTCCAGATCTGGTTTGAGCTGTCTAGAAGGTCTGGAACATCTAACCAATTTGGAACGTCTCGATCTCAGATCAAACAGACTCTCGAATGAAACTGAACTTTCAAATTACCTATCTCAAACACCTAAATTGAAAGATTTGACCATTGCGGGAAACCCTTTATCGAAAATTCCAAGAATTAATGAGAAAATTATCGTTTCAGCTAGAAATTTAGGTACGGATAACAATAATATCTGATATCCTTTCTCCAGAAATTCTCGATGGGAAGGAAATTCCAACCTCACGTCGAAAATTCATCGAAGGTTTGCTAATTCAAATATCGCTGCCAAAGAAAGCTCAACAAGCCTTGTAAATGACAAATAATTTTTTTCCAATCAATACTTGTTGAGCACAAACTACAACTTTATTCTGCAAATATCAAAGGTTGGCCGTCAGGATTGTAGAAGAAAGATCGGAAAACTTTAGCCTCAGCTGCCATCTCTTCCAAGCTTCTTAGCTTTCGATTTGGAACCTTGTCGTGTTTTTGAAGCTGGGTACAAAAAGGAAAGATTAGCAAAAAAGATATGCACTGTAGACTTATGAAAAGAAGACAACTCACTAAATCATAGATGTCATCATTTCTGGCAAAATCGCCAGGCTTTCTTGGCAACGCATGGATGTGGACGTGCTAAAATAAATAGAAACAAGCATTAACGTAGATCATAATCTTCAATCTCACTTCACCAAATTTCCTGATCTTACAGATCGAAATCATTAGTCGCACTGTCCCTTAAGTCTCAAATAAAATAAGTACTGAGCACTCAAAGGTCACCGATGTTGCAGCCATTTACAGTTCATCGCCCATAGTGTAAGCATCATGTAAGAGCTGAAAAATGCTCTTCTACATTAGTTCGATACTTCTTGCGAAACACTTAGTTATCACTGCCTTCAAGAAGTGACGAAGCGATCAAACTCAACTCTTCAATTTCAATCACTACACACGAAAGTAATAAGATACGATGAGGTTCAGGCTTTAAGAGGAGTATTATAAAAAAAGTTATCTCGCAAATTTACTAGTAGTTACATTTATCCTATTTTTAAAATTTCGAGTGATTCCCTCCCAAGATTACCTCTTCGAAACAAAAGCCTGATATTTACAGAGAGGAGGTGTTGAAAATTAATGGGTAGGCAATAATGACTAAATGACAATCTACATTAAGGCCAGTTGAAGGTAAATAAATATGATATACAGAAAGTATATTAAGTTCATATGATTCACAAATATAAAGTACATTAATCAATTATAAAAACAAGACACCTCGATTACTTTACGTTTAGAAAATGGAGCACTAAAATTTGCGTGTGTGTGTGAACATGAAAGCGAAAAATTTAATGAAAAAACCTCAACTCACAGGAACAGATTGTCCAGCGTCTTTGCCGTCCTGAATGGAAATTGTGCTGCTCGTTGCTCCGAAGTGATCGCACAATCGATCGCAAACTCGCTTAGCAACGACAAACATATCCGCAATCGTACCGTAAGGCAGTGACGTGAACCGGTCCACTACATCGATTGGCGTCACCAGGACATCTGAAGGTCTACGTTAAGGTCCACAAAAGAAAAACGAAACAATGCTAGGGAGCTCGAGACCTAATGGTGTACATTTCGTGACAGTATGGATAAACCACTTTAGACAATATTGTTTTAACAAGACGAAGTCTGATTACGGATATCTCAATCGAATATAGGGATGTACTAATTGAGACAGGCTTAAGTTAATTATAATGGAAGACATGGGCTCGAAACCCATTGATGCAAATTCAATAATAGGAGTAATCAGTCGTGCTGGTTAAGACTAAACAACAGAAAGGTGAATGTAGGGGAGGAGGTTCTTCAATGGGAGATATCCCAAGACGTTGAGTCTTAAGCCTGGGAGCCATTCGGATTCAAATCGATGACGTAGAGGTATCATGCCACTCTGATCGGTATCCAATGGGATCTGGCACCTAGGAACGGTCGAATTAACTGCTTTGTTTATTATTGTTCAACAGAGAAGGGGGAGAATCATAATCGTAGTATCCTTATTATGACTGTCAAAAAAAGCAAATCAGATTACTGAAAGGATACGGCCAGGAACAAGAGGGCTAATATTGACAAAGGCCATTGAGACTGATGTGCGATAGAAGACCTGATCAACTTTCAAGGTAATGGGTCCAAAACGGAAATCCTCTGTACCGATGGCTAAAAAATATCGAGATATGATTAAATTTAGAATTCATCGACATTGATTTTTTCTGATAATAATAAATTGCCATTTAAATATTTTTTTTAAATATTTTTGTTAGAAAGATTTAGCCTAAGAGAGCAATGATACCAGTGTTAACGGAAGCTAATACATAATTTTAATGAATAACTTTTATGTAGATATAGTGAGTGAAAATAACTTCGCATGAAAAAAAAGTTTTAAATAGGCGCTTTTGACATTCTCATGAGATGCTTGCGGGGAAGGAAATTCAACTTTTAGGCTTAAATACAGTCTAAATAATTGCTCTAAATTAATAACTCCAAAATTGTCTTCAGTCTGAACTGAGGTTCATATGATAGGAAGTCGGGAAATCCTCTAAACGGACCAACCACTTGTAGGGGGTAATATAGTTTATTTATAAGTAAACAAACGCTTGTTAGTAATTGCGACATGTGTAGAATCGGCAACTTCCACCTCCTTAAGCCCAAAAGTAAATACTCGACAATCCCCCACCTCCTCCTCCCCCCCCCCCCCCCCCCACCGTTAAAGGTGAGTAAAAGTATCACTATGATTCAGTAAATGTGGGGTGCGCGATAGATTTACCTCCACGTGGTGCACCCTGAGCAACGTATACTCATACGGCAAAAACGTCTATCAACCGGCAGTTGACTTCTCACTTCAAACTACCATCACCCTACTGTATGTCGTATTCGGCTATTTTCACAGTACACACCTCACCTTTTTTCTACCTTTGTGCCTGTCTCTTTTACATCTTTGAAACACTCTTCTGTTCCCCCCCCCTCTCGAGTTTTTTAAATTTGATGTTCCTTCCTCTCTGCGAAGCCTGAAGTCAACTAAATGGCTAATGATAACCATCAAGACGCCTGCCATTTGATATAAATAAATGAATGATTCAGTAAATGTCTCAACTACTTCGATGTATTTTATTCTACGATGGCTTTATTAATTCGTCAAACGAGTGACGTTTAAAAAAAAATTTTCAGGTATTAAAAAGCAATAATTAAGTCCAACAGATTAGCAAGAACCCACTTAATGAACCCAAATGTAAAAAAAAGTTATTTAAGACACCCAAGAAGCCGAGTACGAAAAAAATGTGAAATGGCGACGTATTCCAGCAAAATGTTACTAGGAAATGCACTAACAGAATAGAAGCAAAAAAAACAACAACAACAAAATTCACTCACGAATAGGTGTTCCAGCATCGGGCAGAGGGAAAAGATCGTGTCTTCGACTCACCTCAACCGGCAACATCAACCTCATTCTATCCGTGTAGTTGACGCCCTCTTCATCCCCAAACGATGTCTCGGGCTTTTGGTGGTGGATGTGGGCGTAGAGAATACCCGGACCAGGTTCCGTTCTTTCGGCTACTATTCGTCCTGAGGGGTCAATAACCAAACTATGTCCGTAGGTCTTGAACTTTGGGTTATGAACCCCGTCCTACAAGTGTAAGGAATTCTTGCTTAGAGGTTAGAATATTCGAAATTTGATACCGATGGGAGAAAAATTCTTTTGGAAAGAGCGAGTAATTTAATTACAGATCTAAAATTCTCCAGATTGAGATAATTAATGATTTTATTAAACATAAAGGCAAGCTATTATTAATTTAAATTTTGTTTTTTATTCTTATTTTAATCGCGATGGAGCAGTGACTGGTGCTTGAACACTCTATGAGTCTAGAGCCATATGAAAGCAATAGATTGCGAAATAGTTCAAAGAAAAGAGCAGGTGAAATCCCTTTAAAAGTCTTCAACATAAGAGCTAATGGTAACCAAAACTTAAAAGAACTTTGAATGTTGCGATAATTAGCGAAGTATGGCATCCACGGTGGCCTCTAATTAAGTTGGTTTTTTTTTAAAAAAATCGCAATAAAAACTACTCGATCTGACTTGGACAATTAATCTACTTAATTATGTCATGAGATAAGAGAAAATGATTTGAAAAGACTAAATTACCCCGAGAGCGAAAACCCTGATAGCGTCAATTGCATCAAATCCAACCGATTCAAAATGAGTTCGGATAGGAAGAGTACAGTAAATTCAGTTTAATTACATAGGAATGTTTACAAAAAAGACTCGTTCTATCCACACTAAGGAAGAGATCATTGAGCAACTAATTCCACTATTTGGATTGGTAAAATTAACCATTTTAAAGGGGCTTTAGATGTTAAATAGCCCATTTGTCAATTTCCGATCCTTGTTACACAAACAACGAATCCATCTCATAGAAAGAATTGAAGAAACTTCCTCAAGTAGATACAAAGAGATGATGTATGGCTTTTGCAAGCATAAAATACCATGCAAACATATTTCCAAAATCGGTTCAAGCAATAAACATGCAGCCCCCCCCCCACCCCCCACCCCACCCCGCCCCTCCTAAATTAAACAAGTCAACTTCATTTTCTGGATTGAAGGAAATAAGAATCGAAAACAGACTGCTACTTAATTCACTTTGACAGCTAAAGTACCTGGGCAGCAGCGATGACATAGCATTGATTTTCGATTGCTCTTGCTTTGAGCAGAGTATGCCAATGACCGGCATTACCGGTTGGGAACGAAAAGGCAGAGGGGTAGGCTAAGACATTGGCCCCTCCCTTGTACCGGAGTGCGCTCGCCAACTCAGGAAATCTTAAATCAAAGCACTGTTAGAAACAATAAAAAAATCGAAGAAGAACGCGTTACAATTGCTAAACCAAGGCTGCCGACTGGTGTTCCGTGTATAACAACAGGAGCCCTGTCTCCCGGCTGCATATAGCGAGACTCGTCCATGGTCAACCTTTTCTCTTCCTATCAAAGTAATGTTCATTTGAACCACTTAAAACTTACTGTATTTGAAGCATTGCAGTTGAAGTTAATGGAAAAAAGGTGCGACTTGTCATATAACCCAGCAATCTCCCCTTTATTATTCAAGACGATATGAGAGTTGAATAATCTTTTATCGCTTGTCTGTGAGTTTGGCTAAAACATAAACTTTATGAAAGGTGTTAATACTTTTCTGTGCATACTCCCAATGCTGAGCCAGATATTCAAATCTTTTACAAGCTTGCTGATATTTGTAAAAAAATTGCCATTTAAATCTTCGGCTAATAGCATTGCTTCTTCGCAAGAAGCTCCTATGAAATCGGCTGACTCTGGAATAAATACCATCTAAAAAATATCTAGGAAGTATATAAAACACCTTGGCTCCATTACTAGCCGCCTCAGTAATTAAATTAGTAGCGATAGAGAGGTTTTCAGATTTATTATTAGTTGATGTTAGTTGAATAACAGCAATCATGTTTCCAGAGGAGGTAGAACTCCAATTTATGGATCCGATTATATTGAATAGATTACGTCCTAGGCAAGACAAGCGTCTCGCTACGATCATTGGAGAACTTAAATCACCCGTCAAGCGCTGACTCCCCCCTCCCATTTTATTCCACTAAGAACTTTTAAGTTGATTTGATTTAATGACCAGTAATATATCCATTTTGAATTAATATATTCACAAATAAACAAATCTCATGTTTTTTTGAAATAATATGAAAGTCTGATTTAGAATATACCGATAGATTTAAAAGTGAAAGTCAGAGGATAAATTAAATTTTGAGAAATTTTTTAAGGCCCTTTTGTTTGGGAGATGCATTTATCAATATTGATGAAACTTAATATGTACGAAAAATCTTATCAAGCAATTCAGTAGCCAACCTTTCCTAACTGATCTGTTCCTCATAATATTGCCAAACAATTCCAATTGAAATTATTACCGTTCTAAAACGGGACATCAAATATAAGCATATATGACAATTCAAAATTTGTTCAAATGAAATCTTTGTGCAGATTTCAGAAAACTTCCGAAAGTCTGAAACGATTGATTTATTTATATCAAATGGCAGGCTTTATGATAGTTATCATTAACTCTTTAGTGAACTTCGAATTCACAGAGGGGAGGGACATTAAAGCGAGGAAAGATTGAAAGAGGGAACAGAAGAGCAAGGAGAGTACTGTGAAGATGTTGAATATGAAATACAGTCGGGTCATAGTTTATATTTTACTTGTCTCCTGCCGCTTTAAGGCAAAAATAGGAGAGTTTTTAAGGTTCACATGAAGATATATTTATCCAGTTTATGGTCACCATTTGCACATTTATTAATGCTGTATAAATATTCTCTAATGTATCTATTATCAACTTCGTTGTGCTAAATAAAGCATTTTTCTATTTTGGGATCCTCTAAGGTAACAAAACAGACAAAAAATGGATTTTATTGTACTAAACAGCAATCTTTCAATGTCGTAAATTATCGAGCAAAATAAATCTGCTACTTCATTATTAACGAAAAAAACGAAATGTCTTTATCTTACTATTTTGTTAATGGTTGGTTTAATACAGAAATCCATAGAATTGAAGAAAGCATTACAAATCGATGACAAACCAAAAAGCCTCTCTCTTATCATGAAACCATTAGCAGACATTGATGTAGTAATCATGAAACCATTAGCAGACACTGGAGTAGAATGTTGCAACTAACTGGTAGATGACTTCAGAAAATCAACTTCCCTCCAGAACAAATGCGATTACTGGCCAATGGGACAATCAATGTCAACTATCCTGCAGGTCAATGGCTCCAAGTCTTCAGATGTTAACTATCCTGCAGATCAATGGCTCCAAGTCTTCACAGTCATACACAGAAAACCAAGCAAACATTGGTGCAGGTGTTTACTCTGAACTATTCTCTTTCTACGCAGCAGTGAGACACAATGGATCCGCTTTCGAAGGAGAAATAAAGGCCATTAAGATAGTACTAGGCCAACTATGTTGCTAGATACGAAATTCACCAAAGCAGTAATCCTTTCGGACTCAAAGTTAGCAATAAACTCAATTGGAAGCAGAGAGCCACCCAAACAGCTGAGATATACGTATGTAAAAATCTCTACCAGTTGAAGAGAGAGAAAACAAAATAGTGGTTCTACAGTGGATCCCTGGTCACTGTGGCATTAAAGGCAACGAGCTTGCTGACGCACTTGCTAAGAAGGGAACAACAATTTTGCAAGGTATAGACCAGCCGATGTCTTTGAGCACAATGAAAACCTTAATCAGGAGAGAATTCATGATCTCAAGGTGCAACAAACTTAAAGCTCGAACAGTGGAGAAACAGTGGACAGTGACACTCCAAACATAGCCGTTGTTGAGTTTAGACTGCGTACCAGACACGATTGCCAGGCAAAACACCTTCACAGATTAGAAGTCTACACTCAACCAACATGCCCCCTATGTGATCTACAGGAGGAAATGAAGAAGTTTCCCATATTCGGTGTCCAGCTCTAAAGACAACGATGGAAACACAGAGATACTGGGAAGCAAGAAGACAACTAATGAACTACTGCTAACTGTCCTAAAGTCTATATATATGTTCCTCCCCCCCCCCCCCCNTTTATATATTTTCCCCCCCCCCCCCCCCCATCTTGTGAATGCCAAAGTCAACTAAGGGGATTATGATAAATATAATAAAGCCTGCCATTCTATATAATAATAATGCTCATGGATACACGAAATTATATATATATATATATATATATATATATATATATATATATATATATATATATGCTTTCTTAAGATCCAAACCTCTGCGATAGTTAAAGTAATATATAGCAAATTTTATTTTGAAAATTGTCTTTGCATGACATAATTGTTATTTTTCATGTTTAAATTTACAACATACACTACAAATGAAAATTTTCAATTCGGAATTATTTTCTTATATATTAGACTTATTATCATTTACCCTTATTTAAATAAAAAATATCGTGCCTTTTGGCTTAGTTTTATATCTGAAATATTCAGTGAAGTATTTAATTAATTCTCATATCGCCAGTGACCTTAGACTCGTTTAAGTTACTTGCTGGAAAACTGTCGTTTTCCTCAATTTACCTGTACTTAAATCTTTTTTTGTTTCTCGTTGTTATTTATGGACCCAAAAATTGCCAGCTATTTTCGAAGGTTTGGCCCTTTTATATTCTACCTATTCCCGTAGTGTCGACCGTGACAATAGTGGTCATATCAACGCAGAGGAATTACAGGCTGCCTTATCGAATGGTAAGTTTTTTGACAGAATTCATATTTTTTAGGAATCGGAACTCCGTTTGATATCACCTGCTTATCGTTAATGATATCTTTTTTTGATACGGATAACAATGGTACTATTTGTTTAAAAGAATTTGAGCAACTCTACAAATATATTACTGAATGGCAAAATGTATTCCGTCAACACGATTGTGATGGCTCAGGATCAATCGATTTTAATGAATTCACCGCAACTCTCAAACATTTTAGATATCACCTTAGCCCACAATTTGTCCAATGGTTGATGTCACGCTTCGACAAACAACGAACGAACAGGTTGGGTTTTGATAAGTACATCTACATCCTGGTTTGTCTTCAGGTTGGTTAATTTTGTGTTTTTTTCAAGTTAGCATTCAATCAATTTCTTTTATCTGCGTCTTCTCTTTCAGATCCTTACAAGGAGCTTTAGGGCATTTGATACACAGCAAATTGGTGTTGCTACCATGAGTTTTGAACAATTCCTAGGAGCCGCCTTCAACATGTGCGTCTGACGTTGAAGCTTTGTTAGCATTCTTTTCTTCAATTCGTGGTTTCTCATTGTTTGCTCATGTATTCTATACCGGCTTCTCATTTTTTCTGTCGTACATTCTTTATATTAGCCTACCTGCTTGTCTGGTTTTTTGCTCCAGAATATAGATCATCATTTATAATAACAGAAAATTGGTGTTTATTGTTTTTGGAATGTTTGTCTCTGTTTTCGTTTTAGAAGCAGCTCTGGTCACTGAACTTACAAAAATACCTTTGGATTCGTGAATTCTTCTCGTTTAATTAAGTTTTAATAAAATTATTTCTGCTTTATAATTCTTTGTGGTTTTTATGCTAGGTACAGCATGAAAAAATATGTTTTTTTTTCACGTTTGACATATTTCTTGTCACGCATGGTCTTGTTGTTTGTTCTGATTGTTGTACTATTGTGATGGATGCACTTGTTGAGATATACCTAGGTCATGGAGTTACACGCCCATCTAATCATTTAACTTTTTACATCTAGTTTTTTTATTGGGATTGGTTTATGCCATTTAACTTGCTTTCCTAGGTGTGCTAACAATGACGGCAATTTGTCATTGGCGTTCCAGCAAATTTTTACACCTTAGGAGTTCCGTTTTGCCTAATTGATGACTCATTAATAAAGTTGTGAAAAAAATTGACATTCTAACAAACAGCCGCTTTCTTTTCTCTAAGAACATTACATCTTACGTTAATGATATTCCAAAGAGCATCGGAGATATGTGGTTTGTCATCGGTCGTTTTTTCTTTTGTCTGGAATTAATTATCCAAGGCAAAACAGAAATCTTGTATTTATGCTTAATTCTCTAAGTTTGTAGGAATTAACAGATCATGTACTTTAAAGCAATGAATGGGAAGGGTTTTGGTAGTGAACACTAAGGGATCATGTGAGACCTTCTTTACTCCTTAACTGACTGGCATCTAATTATTCGAGTGGCGTTTGAGCATTGTTTTAATTAATGCTCATTTTCTTCCTGTAAATGCCAATTTTTTACTAGCTGACCCCTGTTTTTCGTGGAATAAAGTAAATTGAAGAGATGCGATGGCCCCTGTGTTTGGTTAATCTTGAAACATTTGTTTATATCAAATGGCAGGCGTTTTGATAGTTATCATTGGTCCTTAAGTTGACTTCAGGCTCCACAGAGGGGAAGGAACATCGAAGGGAAAAAAGTGGAGAGGGCGGGGAGAGGGAAGAGAAGAGTGTTTCAAAGATGTAAAAGAGACAGACACAAAGGTTAAGATGAGTATTGCGGAAGTAGTCGAATATGACACGCAGTCGGGTCAAGGTAGTTTGAAGTGAGAAGTCAACTGCCAGTTAATAGACTTTTTTTGCCGTATGGGAATACGTTGCCCAGGGTGCACCACGTGGAGGTAAGTCTATCACACACCCCTTATCTTTAAACATACAGAATGTGAGAAGTTAGGAACACTTTCTCAGTTGGAAGTCTATTGCTTACGTGAACACCAATTGATGTGTTATTTAAGTCTTGTGACATGATTGGTTAATTACGGTTTTCTCTGGTCATCTTTTTTTGCTATTCACTTTTACCACGTAACGAATTCTCATTACCCTAGAAATGTTACAAAACCTCCATTTTCTTCCGGATAAAATTGCCTCCTGGGTTCAATTTCGTGTTTACCTCTCCTTCTAGTCTTAACCATTCGAGTTTTACTCATTCAACAACTGTTCCGGGATTAAAATTAAATGAACAGAAATGGCCAGAAGTTGACATTGTTGCTAATTTTAGGGTAATAATTAGGGCAAACGTTTTTACCTAGAAAGACATTCTCCCTAATGTATTAGGCTTCAATCAGGTTGGGAAATCAGAGCAAGACGAGCCTTCAGTTAAATTAATCAATAATCATCAAATCGGAGGATTCTGAGTCGAGGCAACACTAAGGGAAGACAACGACGACTGGGTATGGGTAGTGATTGATTTGCCTATGATCTTGAATTCCATTAATGAAGGGTTGTTCCCTTGATCCGATATGCACTGGAGGGAAATTAAGCTCGTTAATAATTATTTAATTACTTGAATTGAATGCAATGGTCAAATGAGGGGCTTGTCTTTATCTAAGCTACCTCACTTTAATTCCTGAAATATTTAGAGCGGTTGTGTTGGAAATACATTGCCATCTTGATCTAAAATAAAGCAATTGACAAAATGGATATGCTCACTTTCATGCAAAACTTCTATCCAAACACACGACGCCTATTCAATAGCTTACAATTTCTCGTCCTAATAACAGGCTAAATATTTTCGTTCAAGCTCTTCCACATCTTCTACCAATTCGTCTCGGCTACCACAATGTAGAATGCTAATAATCGACTTTTTCTTGTGAAATATGGTCGGGTAGAAAAAAATGTTCACTCCCAGCCTGACTGACATAGAAATCTCTGTGGCAGATTCCCCTACATCTAGCTAGACTCACAGAAACAGAGGAAACAGACACATAACACGAAACACGTTTACTCAGTCAATATCTTGTGAGCAAAGTGTACGCGCGGGGAGCTTAATCATGATCAGGATGGCGGATTAGGTTAAACAAACGGAGGCTACTGATTGGCCAATGTTTGTACAGTCACTGCATGCGATGACGAGTCCCACAAGTAACAGGTAGGCTATTTAAGCTGTGTAATCTGGTTTACAATACGGCAAATCGATTCAACAGTGTCCTTAATTCAGTTGGGACACTAGGCGAAGCCGTATGTTTATATGCGGCCATGGTAGCCAATTTGCCAAACCCCCCCCCCACCCCCACCCCC